GGAGGGCAGTGTCACTGGTCCTCATATGTGGGATCCGAACCGGGGCCCTCTGGCGTCCCAAGCCAGTTCTTAACCATCGCGCCACTCGGCCGGCCCTAAATGTTTCTTGAATGATTTTTTATTTTTATTTTTTTGTCTTGAAACACTAACTTATTTCAGTTGAGTGACAAAAATATTGCTTTATTCTGGAATAATTTTTTTCAATTACTAATAGTATTGTAGTTTATTGAAATTTTAAGAAATAATAGCATTGCTCTATAAACTAGTAAGTTTTCCATAGTAAAGTAAGGTTTTATGTAGTTCATTCCTCAAGCTTGTGGAAATATCCAGGAATCAAAATGCAAGTCCAATGTAACTCAGTTTTTTTCTCTTCCCATCCCCCCATACAGAAGACAGCAACAAGCCCTCCAAATACCTCCTTTTTTCTCCCATCTACCTCCTTTATACTCTGTGTACTACCACACTTCCCACTCCCAAATTCCTCCTACAGAATTTCTCTTTTAGTCTTAAATTAAGTCTCTATTTTCTCATCTCTTATTCTCCCCTAAAGAAGAACTTATCAGGCAAGGCAAAAGTATTCTTCTAAGAAGTAAGAAAGGTCAGAAAGTGGATGAAGATAAACCTTCATTTTTTTCATGTTTGATGTGTCTTAATTTTTAAGATGACATCTTATCACTTGAATATATAGTAAGATTAAGCTGAAATAATTAATATAAAAAACCTAACAAAAAAGTGTGCCTGTCGTAAAGACTGAAACACTCTAAAAATTACCCTATTTTAGAAAGTGAATACAGATAAACTCAGGTGACAGTTCATTACAGAGTCCACTGGAAAACCTGGCTTCAAAGTATGTGACTAGAAAATTATATTATTAAACGGTGACATTAACATTAATTAAACTTATATAAATAAGTATTGTTTTAAATGTGATCATCTAAATTAATTTGAAAATTATGCTATATAAATATAAAACATTACAATTACTTTTTGAGAGAATATTTATTAAATAACACCTTTGGTCAATGTACAATGTCTGATAGTCTATCACACTCTGTGTAATGACACTGATGTAGTATTAGATTTTTCAGAACTATTAAATGATACTTGGAAATGTCATAAGAATTTTTTTTTTAACCATTGAATTGTTAATATACTAGTATATTTTATTAACTACTCTAAAAATAGAGAAATTTATGGTGCAACACAATGTAACAGTATGGTCTCATAATACTGAATTATAAATATAATTGGAATGTAATAATAAATTGATCCCTACAAATAGTTCAGTATTCTATATTGTGCTTAATATGCTATTTGAATAATTTCAATAGTAGAATCAATGCAGGTCACTGATGGGCAACATAGCTTCTTCATACATTTATTGTATTTATAGACACTTCTTCTGAATTTCTAACTTACGGAGCAGTTTTTTTCTATTAGCTACATTAGACACATTCACAGTATCTACCATAGGTAACTTAAATGACTAAATAATTTAAAACTTACAAACCTATTCATTTCAAAATGTACAGAAAATGCATTTATGTGTATAGACATTCCAACTTAAAGTTATTATAGCTGCAGTATTAATTAATCAGATGAAAACTCCATTGGTACTGTTTTCATCCAGAGTTGTTCAGAAATAGGTGAAGTTCAAGTAGTAAGAGATACAGAAATTTTAGAAGATAAAGCCTTAGGAAATAAATAGACTATTAGCCAACATTTTATATACAGAGATGATTGCTGCAGCATTATTTGGGATAGCAAAAGTTAAAAGTTGCTTAAATTCTAAACAGTAGCATAAATAGCTCAATCTTTCAATAATATTAACTGAATCTCTTCTATCGGCCAAGCATTACTAGGCACTAGGAATGTAACTATGAACAAACCAGGCAAACAAATTCTTCTCATGGAATTTACATTATTAGTAAGGACAGACCTCAGGGAGAGGTTATGAAATAAATAAGTTAAAAAAAAAAGTAAATGTTTCAGGAGGAAATGTGTTCTGCCAAGGATGTAAAACAGGTAATAAGATAGTCATTGACATCGAAAGCAAAGGCAACAAAAACAAAAATTAACAAATGGGACTACGTCAAACTAAAACGCTTCTGCATAGCAAAGGAAATCATCAACAAAATAAAAAGGCAACCTATGATTGATAGACAATATTTGCAGATCATATATCTGACAAGGGGTTCATATCCAAAATACAGAGCTCATACAACTAAATAGCAAAAAAAAAAAATCTAATTTTAAAATGGGCAGAAGATCTGAATAGACATTTTTCCAAAGAAGACATACAAATGACAATCAGGTACATGAAAAAATGCCCAACGTCACCCATCCTCAGAGAAATGCAAATCAAAACCACAATGAGATATCACCTCACACCTGTTGGAATGGCTATTATCCGAAAGACAAGAAATAACAAATGTTGGTGAGGATGTGGAGAAAAGGGAATCCTTGTGCACTCTTCGTGGGATTGTAAATTGGTGCAACTACTATGACAAACAGTATGGAAGTTTCTCAAAAAATTAAACATAGGATACCAGGTGATCCAGCAATTTCACTTCTTGGGTATTTATTCAAAGGAAATGAACACACTAACTAAAAAGATACATGCAACTCCATGTTCATTGCAGCATTATTTACAATAGCCAAGACATGAAAGGAACTTAAGCGTTCACTGATAGATGAATGGATAAAGAAAATGTGGTATATACAAGGGAATATTATTCAGCCATGAAAAGAAGGAAATCTTGCCATTTGTGACAACATGGAGGGACCTTGAGGGCATTATGCTCAGTGGAATAAATCAGACAGCGAAAGACAAATATTCTATGATGTCACTTATATGTAGAATATAAAACAAAAACAAAAAACCCAAACTCAGATACATAGAATAGATTGGTGGTTGTCAGAGGCAAGGGATGGCAATGGGGTTGTAAAATGGGTGAAGGTGGTTAAAAGGTATAAACTTCCAATTATACAATAAGTAAGTCCTGGGGATGTAATGTACAGTATAGTTACTATAGTTAATAATAATAATAATTATATATATATATATATATATATATATATATAAAATGTTTGAAAGTTGCTAAAAGAGTACACCTTGGAAGTTCTCATCATAAGAAAAAAGAAGGTATAACCGTGTGGTGATGGATGTTAATTAGACTTTTTGTGGTGATCATTTCATAATGTATACAAATATTGAATCATTATGTTGTATATCTGAAACTAATATAATGTTATATGTTGATTATATCTCAATTTAAAACACAATAGACTCATGGGACAGTTTCTGGGGTATGAATTTATTTAGATACCATGTTCAGAAAACACCTCTCTAAATAAGTGTTTTTGAACTGAGACCTGGGCAGGAGAATGAATACCCATGAGCAAATCAGTGGGGAAAGTATTCATGGCCAAGGGAACAGCCAGCATAGGCCCTGAATCAGAAATGAGTTTGCTGTATTAGGGAACCAAGGTCAGAGTGAACAAGGGAGGACATGAGACAAAATGGTACTGGCCAGATAGCAGAGGTTCATGATCTACGGCATTGAAGGCCATGTTGGAAGTTAGAATTTTACTGCAAGTATATAGTTAGAGAAAATTTGGTGTAATAAATGGTTAATATAATAATGATTTGAAAAACTCTTTAATAACACTGTGAAAGGTTTGTTATGTGTTAAAGGGAAAAACCTGATACAATAAAATGACATATACAGTATAATTCCAAACATGTTAAAAATGATAGAAAGATTAATTACAAAAAAAATAGAAAAATTAGGCTCTTCCCTTTGTCCACTTACATGTAAGAACAAAACTCAGTGCCCCATCCAAAAAGCAATGACATACGACAGATCTAATGATATTATTGCTTCGCACACTTTGGACATCTTAATAATGTAATAATGAGTAGTTGTTTTGTTTAACCTAAATTTTTAAAATTCAAATATAAGTGAAAAATTGCAGGAAAAAATCCAAAACCAAGTTTTTTGCCCTCATAGATATAGCTATAGAAAAATATAAAAGTGAATTATTATGCATATTTAATATATGTTTATTTTCACTTGTTTTTAAAATTAATATGATTAAATTCAGTTCACTCATATATTTTTTAAAAATAGTTTTTTTCAGCTGATTGAATACACCTGAAAGTAGTCCCAGGCTTGAAATGTGTTCATATCTTGTTATTAGGTATACAAATTTTCATGTGTGTAGCTTTTTAAAAATAATTATTATTAATGGAAAGTTATCTTAAAAGAAGAACTGAAATGTTTTATTTATGTGTTTTCTTTTAGTTGGATCACCGTTATAATGAATTCAAACTTCACTCAATTATGTCTGAACATAAAAAAACAATCACAGCCATCTCTTGGTGTCCACATAACCCTGATCTGTTTGCAAGTGGCAGTGCCGATAACTTAGTGATCATTTGGAATGTTGCAGAACAAAAAGTCATTGCTAAACTCGACAATACAAAAGGTATATTTGTAACAGGGACTTATTTTATTGAGTGAAATATTTTAATTTTAATAAGCAAAATACTTTATTTCAGTTAGCTCAGGTTTTAAACTAGTGATTTTTAAACTTTACAGTGGTAATCTATGTAAGAAATACATTTCACATCATGACTCAGTATGGTGTGTGTGCATGTGTACAAAATTTCATGAAATAATTATACTTGTTACACCGATCAATTAAAAACATACCAAATACCAAATAATTTCAGTAGTATTTAAATATAACATAAAAATTTCCAACAATAAATATAAAAATAATTAGATAGGATTTTCTTAATGAGACAGTTGGACTTGCCTATTCATTATTCTGTTCCAATCTGAAACGTACAAAGAAAATATTATGCCAGTCTTCAGTGCTCTGCTGAGCTAGTTCCCTGTATTTTTAATTTGGTCAAGGTAGAAAGTCCTAGTTCACACATGTGGGTCTTAGTGTATTGAGTAATATCACTGCATTCTTTCTACCTAACATCTTACCCCATAATAATGATGAAGTAACCATTTTTCTGTGTTAAATATCACAATAATTCAATCTCTCTTTGAGCACCAAGTGTAGTTCAACCATTGATTATGGTTTTGAAAGTTACTGCTGGATACATTTTCCATATTCAGTTTCTTTTTAAAAAAATACTGATTATAACTTCGAGGTAGAAAACTGAGATGTTACGACCTCATTAACTTTATTTTGTTCCAAGTTTCTTTATAATAGTTTTTTCAGTATGTAGCAATTCATAGGCAATTATATTTAAATCTTGCTTCCAAAATAAAAATAATGCCTTTTGGAACCTTTGGATATGTTCAACACATTTAGTACATTGCATTATTCTTGTATTTTCAAATTTAGGTCATTAGAAATTTTGAAAATACCAAAAAAAGTACAAAGTTTGTTACATAAATTACATCTTAAAAATATTTGCCGAAGTTAATTTTTAAACTAGAAAATGTAAATCTCATTCCCAAGTTTATACATCCTATATTTTCACTTGCTACAACCAGTGAACTTCAGTATTAGTGAGAAAAATATTTTAAAAAGTCAAGTATTTAGTGAGTTTTCATTAATGGAATAGTTTTCCTTAAGTTTTTGAACACCTTGTTGAGAAAAAAGCCAAGTTAAATTACTTTTGGAACAAAGCTTTGTGATGTATAAACAGCAATATAGTCTCAGTCAAGATTTTTCATGTTTTTCTGGTCATATCTGTTACTCTACCAATCATGAGTCCTACATGTTTTTCCAGTATTATTTATATTGATCAACAGTGCATTTTCCCAATACTTTAAATCCAGCTTTGTGTGAAATTAATTTTAAATAACACAATAAATAATCCTTAAAATTCTTCCCACATTTTATGTGACATAAACTAAAAATGTTACACGATGTCATCATTCTCCTATAGTTGTCACACAAAATCTATACTAGACTATAACTGCATAACATGTTATCCAAATGTTATACAGAAGCACAGATTAGACAACATATTATTGTATTATCACCTAGTCTGTCTGCTGATTTGTCATGAAACACCATAGGAATCACACCCATTCATGGTGGAAGAGCTTTTATTTATCAGCTGTGTGCACCATAGCTTCCTTTGCCACTGAATATACAATTAAATAAGCATTTTATTAATACATGTAGAATGATGAAATAATTTAGGTAACAATTTTAATCAATTTTACATATTTTTTTCTTTCTCTGAAAAATTTTAAATGAGTTCCTCACACTATTTCCAAATAACATCTTAATTTGAACATCAAAAGCTTTGATATTTTATTTACAAAAAATATTATGAATATTTTTGGTCACTTTCTTTTAAAATAATTGGCTTTGAAATGTCTTAGGCTTTCTTTTTTTCTTTTCAGAATCTAGCTTAAGGAAAGTAGAAGTTTGCATGTCAATTTTTTTATCAATATTAGAACTTCCACATCCAGCCATTGATCTTGAACCTACTTCTGTATTTTTAAATTCATGACTTTTTCCTAAAAATCAAATTATTTAAAGAAAAATGAGTGTTAATTTATTTAAATGTAAAGTATTAAAATTGTCACCAACTTGAAAAATGTCACAATATCCTTCCAGGAAAAACAAAAACAAAAACTGTTAACAGTGGGAAATAACGCTACCTTCTTATCTCAGAATCTTGTGGGGAGAATTAAATGAGTTGATATTTATAGAGCTCTTAGAAGTGCTTTCATGCAATAAACCAGTATAATAGTGTTTTCTATTATAACTATATGACCTTGTTTCCGGTCTCTTCTCTTCCTTGCAGCCTTCCTTGAAATATGCATTCAGACAGCCAGCATTCTAATGGCTTTCTTTTTTTTTTNCAGATTTTACGTTGATTTAACCCACATCAGTCATTTGTCACATATTTTTACTTTCTGAAGCCAATTCTTTATGTCTAAACATTTACTAAGAAAATGGGCTGAATAAACAAGGACTGTTTATTCTATAAAAAATAGAACTGTAATATATGATGACTTAGTAACTCTACTCAAACATATTTTCCCACCTTTGTGTAAAATACCTTTTGGATGCTACTGCTCTGCAAAGACTTTGAATCTGGGATAGAAAGGAACAATAGCTCTTTGGACTCATATTAGTTAATTAATCTGGATGAACGAAAGGGTCTGAGAAATTAATTTATGTTTATTTTTAAAATTTAAACAATAACAAAATATAAGGGAAAAAAATAAAAATGACTTGAATAGCTCTCCACTTCTGAAACAGTCCTGCTAACATTTGAGAAACATGCTGTTAGCCATCTGGCATCTCGTTGGTGTGTGTGACTCCTGGTTCACTAGACAGATAGATGAAAGTGCTTTTTCAGGATTAGAATAACTAACACCACAAAATGTACTACATTCAGTTTCTCTGAAATTAATAGAAGAAAAAATAAATTGAATGGAAGAAATTGTGAAAATTCAAATACATTTCCAGGGAATAAGCTTCCTAAAGTTAAAAAAAAAAAAAGTTGTAAAACATTGATAGAGTAGGTCCATTTTATTTTGAATATGTTTTAAACAGGATCTATTATTTATATTTTTTAGAAAGATTAAATATGCACGTACTTCTTTACCACCTTCTTTTTCTGCTCTTGTTCCTTCTGTTGACCAGTTTTACATGGAGACATTTTCGTCTGTTTGTTTTAGATTAGAATGGGGAGAGGTCAGTGACTGTGTTTTGCTGCATTTGGATTTGTTGTCTCAAACACCTCCACCCACTCTGTCCCATCCTCTGAACTGGGAGCAGGTTCTGTTTTATAGTTGGTCACTAAGGTTCCCAGCTAAGCGACATAATTCACAGACTTCCTCTGTTTTGCTCTGGTGACTACCACTACTTTCTCCAGCTCTTGTCATATCTGGCGGTCTTACCCACTACCAGGGAGGTGATTTAGGGACAATAAAGATTGCTCTGTGTATATGCGTGCGCTGCGCACGCACGCAGCTCTTCCTTTTGTCTCTCTGCTCTCTGGGGTGCATTTAGGGACACTCCCCACTTCTGCCCCTGGCTGGCCCACACCCAGAGATTTCAAAAGAATTGTGACGCTCTCTGAGAAATCTGTTCTGCAGAGCTCTGAAGGAAGATAATAAGGAGTGTGCCCTTATTTTGGTCTGTATTTCTTTCTAGATATTTTTCCTATTTTGTAATTCATCCTTGTGGCCATCTTGTTTGTCATTGACTAAGGTTTTCTTTTCTTGCTTTGTTATGGTTATTATTTATTTTTAAGGCTTGAATCCATGTGATATTGAGACATTATATCATGTCTCTAAAATATAAAACGTAGAGATTTTGTAGCTTATTTTGGCATACAAAGATAGGGAGGGATGAAGGTCTCCTTTGCTTTTCTCATTCCTGGATTTACATCGGGATAGAACGTAGGACTATATTTCACTAGGCTAACTTATGTGACTTCCAGAAGAGGCCATTGTTTTCTGATAACTTAATCTTCCTGTTGTTAAACAAAATAATTTGCCCACGTCATCAAGGATTATTTTTCTCCATCCACCCATGTTTTAGTTTGCTGCCCTAACAAAGTACCATAAACTGGATGGCTTAGAACAACAGAAAATTTTTTTCAGTTTTATTGAAATATAATTGACATACATAAGTTTAATGTGTACAGCATAATGGTTTGGCTTACATATATTGTGAAATGATTACCATAATAAGTTTAGCTAGCTAGCTCCATCATCTCTGTAGAGATACAATAAAAAGAAAAAGCAAATAAAGAAAATTTTTTTTTTTATGATGAGAACTCTTAAGATCTTTATTGTTTCACAATTCTAGAGGCCCAAAGTATGAAATCAAGTTGTGAGCAAGAGCCTCTAAAAGCATGAGGGGAGAATCTGTTCCAAGCCTCTGCCTGGGCTTCTGGCAGTTCCTTAGCTTGTGGCAGCCTAACGCCCATCCTCACATGGCATTCTCCCTGTGTGCACACATGTCTCCAAGTCCCAGTTTCCCCTCTTTCTAAGGATACAGTCATACTGGATTAGGGTCTACCCTAATGACCTCAATTTGATCATCTGCAAATACATTTTTCCAAGTAAAGTCACATTCACAGATACTAAGGGTTAGGATCCCAACATATTTTCTGGGGACACAGTGCCTCCCGTAAGGACCCAATAAAGACTTCTTGATTTCTTTTATTCCATAGGATTTTTAGCAATTCATGCACAAAACATTATGAAAGGTATAATCCAGCTATGTGTTTTCCTTTTGCATATGTGAGAACTAAGGGGTCATGAAGGCAACCCTACTTTTTGATTCTGACATCCTGATGTGAGTTTGAAATTTTGAGAGTGTTAGCATTGATACTGATATTGTTACTTTTTTGTTTTTGTTTTTACTTTTCTTGAGGAGTGGTCACCCTTACCTTGTCAATGACTCATTGGCATCAAAGGTGGTTCAACCTCTATGTAACAAGATGGAATTTCTGTCGTCCAGGTTCTTGCAGGAGATTATGACCTCAAATTCAAATCCAGTTTTCTTTCTAGACAGTAACCAAATGGTCACAAACCCTCCTACACATCAAAATCATTTGCAGAACCTTGTTAAAAAAAAAAAAGATTTCTGGATCCTAATTCCATAATCTGATATGCATATTCAGTTCGATGATTCTGAAGGAGTTGATGAATGTATCTGTGGTGGGAGATTCATAATCTCCCTCTTGAGTCATAAATTTGATTAAAATAATAGTGAGGAGATTAACAATTAAATTTTGTATTTGTCTTATAGTTTAAAAGGAATTTTTGCATGTATGATTATATTTCCTTTTATTAACATTTGTGTGAAATAACTAGTCAGCTCTTTAGTTATATCTGTTTTATAGATGAGGAAATAGAGTTTTAGAGAGGTAAAGTGACTAGTTCACCTGAGGCAAATCTAAAATTTGAATTTAAACTGATAAGGCATAGATAATAGCATTAATTTTATTATTATTAAGTTCATATAGTAGCATTTACCTTTTCACACATTTAATTCTTATCTCCCCAATTTATTTAAGATCCCTTAAAGCAGAAATTGTATCCCATACTAACTGGTATACCTCGAATGTCTACAGTAGGTCTCACACACAAAAACTGAATAAGAATTTATTGCTTTAATATGCAAACAGTTTTCTGAAAGAACTCTGTAAATTTCTTTGAATATGTAAGCATATGATCACATTAATAGTTTTAGACCTAAGTAGGTACTTTTCCTTTCATCATGGAAGTACCCTACGTATGTTCCCTTGCAGTCTTCAGGCTTACCTTTCAAAATCCAATTCCCAAGTAAGAAGGTAATATTTATTTTTTTAATGATGAACATATTCTTATGTTTTAAGTTATTTTATAAATGTACAATGCAAATAATATTTACTGGTACAATCTTCTGCCAGATCTGTATTACATGCATGTATATTTAATTTATTCTAGGGATGCCGGCCTCCCTGAGCTGGTGCTGGAACACAGATGATGCTGTGGGTTTTGTTGCCCACAGAGGCCCTCTGTTCATTTGGACTATCTCAGGACCAGATAGTGGAGTGACTGTACACAGAGATGCTCATAACTTCCTGTCTGATATCAGTATATTCAGATGGCATACCCAAAAAAGGGGGAAAGTTGTATTTGGTCATATTGATGGAAGTCTATCAATTTTTCAACCAGGTAAGAATTTAAATTAGATCTCTTAAATTTGATTTTTCTTAGCATTTGTAATTTATTTACACAGCATAAAGCCTACGGTAACACAATTTTAATTTTAAAATAATAGCTGTACAAATATTATCAAGTGTTGTGCTGATTCCAAATAATCATTTGAAGTAAATTTATTTGTAAGGCATTATAATACATTGAACCCAGCTGTGCAGATTTTACGTTGATTTAACCCACATCAGTCATTTGTCACATATTTTTACTTTCTGAAGCCAATTCTTTATGTCTAAACATTTACTAAGAAAATGGGCTGAATAAACAAGGACTGTTTATTCTATAAAAAATAGAACTGTAATATATGATGACTTAGTAACTCTACTCAAACATATTTTCCCACCTTTGTGTAAAATACCTTTTGGATGCTACTGCTCTGCAAAGACTTTGAATCTGGGATAGAAAGGAACAATAGCTCTTTGGACTCATATTAGTTAATTAATCTGGATGAACGAAAGGGTCTGAGAAATTAATTTATGTTTATTTTTAAAATTTAAACAATAACAAAATATAAGGGAAAAAAATAAAAATGACTTGAATAGCTCTCCACTTCTGAAACAGTCCTGCTAACATTTGAGAAACATGCTGTTAGCCATCTGGCATCTCGTTGGTGTGTGTGACTCCTGGTTCACTAGACAGATAGATGAAAGTGCTTTTTCAGGATTAGAATAACTAACACCACAAAATGTACTACATTCAGTTTCTCTGAAATTAATAGAAGAAAAAATAAATTGAATGGAAGAAATTGTGAAAATTCAAATACATTTCCAGGGAATAAGCTTCCTAAAGTTAAAAAAAAAAAAAGTTGTAAAACATTGATAGAGTAGGTCCATTTTATTTTGAATATGTTTTAAACAGGATCTATTATTTATATTTTTTAGAAAGATTAAATATGCACGTACTTCTTTACCACCTTCTTTTTCTGCTCTTGTTCCTTCTGTTGACCAGTTTTACATGGAGACATTTTCGTCTGTTTGTTTTAGATTAGAATGGGGAGAGGTCAGTGACTGTGTTTTGCTGCATTTGGATTTGTTGTCTCAAACACCTCCACCCACTCTGTCCCATCCTCTGAACTGGGAGCAGGTTCTGTTTTATAGTTGGTCACTAAGGTTCCCAGCTAAGCGACATAATTCACAGACTTCCTCTGTTTTGCTCTGGTGACTACCACTACTTTCTCCAGCTCTTGTCATATCTGGCGGTCTTACCCACTACCAGGGAGGTGATTTAGGGACAATAAAGATTGCTCTGTGTATATGCGTGCGCTGCGCACGCACGCAGCTCTTCCTTTTGTCTCTCTGCTCTCTGGGGTGCATTTAGGGACACTCCCCACTTCTGCCCCTGGCTGGCCCACACCCAGAGATTTCAAAAGAATTGTGACGCTCTCTGAGAAATCTGTTCTGCAGAGCTCTGAAGGAAGATAATAAGGAGTGTGCCCTTATTTTGGTCTGTATTTCTTTCTAGATATTTTTCCTATTTTGTAATTCATCCTTGTGGCCATCTTGTTTGTCATTGACTAAGGTTTTCTTTTCTTGCTTTGTTATGGTTATTATTTATTTTTAAGGCTTGAATCCATGTGATATTGAGACATTATATCATGTCTCTAAAATATAAAACGTAGAGATTTTGTAGCTTATTTTGGCATACAAAGATAGGGAGGGATGAAGGTCTCCTTTGCTTTTCTCATTCCTGGATTTACATCGGGATAGAATGTAGGACTATATTTCACTAGGCTAACTTATGTGACTTCCAGAAGAGGCCATTGTTTTCTGATAACTTAATCTTCCTGTTGTTAAACAAAATAATTTGCCCACGTCATCAAGGATTATTTTTCTCCATCCACCCATGTTTTAGTTTGCTGCCCTAACAAAGTACCATAAACTGGATGGCTTAGAACAACAGAAAATTTTTTTCAGTTTTATTGAAATATAATTGACATACATAAGTTTAATGTGTACAGCATAATGGTTTGGCTTACATATATTGTGAAATGATTACCATAATAAGTTTAGCTAGCTAGCTCCATCATCTCTGTAGAGATACAATAAAAAGAAAAAGCAAATAAAGAAAATTTTTTTTTTTATGATGAGAACTCTTAAGATCTTTATTGTTTCACAATTCTAGAGGCCCAAAGTATGAAATCAAGTTGTGAGCAAGAGCCTCTAAAAGCATGAGGGGAGAATCTGTTCCAAGCCTCTGCCTGGGCTTCTGGCAGTTCCTTAGCTTGTGGCAGCCTAACGCCCATCCTCACATGGCATTCTCCCTGTGTGCACACATGTCTCCAAGTCCCAGTTTCCCCTCTTTCTAAGGATACAGTCATACTGGATTAGGGTCTACCCTAATGACCTCAATTTGATCATCTGCAAATACATTTTTCCAAGTAAAGTCACATTCACAGATACTAAGGGTTAGGATCCCAACATATTTTCTGGGGACACAGTGCCTCCCGTAAGGACCCAATAAAGACTTCTTGATTTCTTTTATTCCATAGGATTTTTAGCAATTCATGCACAAAACATTATGAAAGGTATAATCCAGCTATGTGTTTTCCTTTTGCATATGTGAGAACTAAGGGGTCATGAAGGCAACCCTACTTTTTGATTCTGACATCCTGATGTGAGTTTGAAATTTTGAGAGTGTTAGCATTGATACTGATATTGTTACTTTTTTGTTTTTGTTTTTACTTTTCTTGAGGAGTGGTCACCCTTACCTTGTCAATGACTCATTGGCATCAAAGGTGGTTCAACCTCTATGTAACAAGATGGAATTTCTGTCGTCCAGGTTCTTGCAGGAGATTATGACCTCAAGCTCTCTGGAGAAAAAAAGAAATGTCCACAGAGGATTGCCCATAATGATGCAGCTCATCCTTCATTTTAAATCAGTGATTTTTAAACGGTGCTTATTAGTGAGTTTGTATATTTATGTGTGTGTATTGGGTGTGGGTTGGTAGGAAGGCTTAGTAGGTGATCCAGCTTGCTTTATATCTTCTCCTCCCTTTCAGTCTGAAGAGCACTTTATTCTGTATTCTGTATTGGATTTTCATGTAAAAATTCTCAAGTGAACAGAGGATTCCAGGGCCCAAAAGGTTGAAAACTACTGGTTTAACTATTTCAAGTAATATTCTTGGACAAAGCTAGATCAGAGAATTTTTTTATCTTCATAATAGAATGTTTTAATTGAACTGACTTTCATATTATCCCAGG